TTTCCATAGTCTTTGGTTATGAAATACCTAGAGTGGGACTGCCATGTCATATGGCATTTCTATTTTTAGTTTTCTAAGGAACCTCCGTGCTGTTTTCCATAAAAGTCACACAAATTTATAGTCTCAGTAAATGTATGAGAGTTCCCTTTTCTCTATTTCTGGTTTTGCCGTATGGGTATGAAGTGGTATCACATTGTGGTTTTGATTTATATTTCTTTATCAATATGTGAAATTGAGCATTTCTTCATGTGCCTGTTAACCATTGTCTTTGCAGAGGTGTCTATTTGTATCTTCTGCTCATTTTTGTTTTATTAGATTGTTTGAATTTTTTGTGATTCTTGAGTTCTTCATGTATTTGGGAAGTGTCACCCCTTGTTAAATGCATGATATACAGGTATCTTCTCCCATTCAAATTAACTACAGTGAAGATAAGAACTGATAACAGTGAATTACGAGATCTCCTTCAATCTGCCTATTAAAATTATGTACCTGAAATTATAACCCAGAATATTCAATGTGAAAAACTTTCTGTGGCTGTTACTACAATTTAAATATGACTATTTTCCCCTAGAAATTACGAGTAAAATACCATATACATGGATGTCAGTATAAAATTGATACCATTTTTTTAAAAGATTTATTTATTTATGCACACAAGAGCTGAGGTATAGGCCAGAGATACAGGGAGTGAGAGGATTCAGAGAGTGGGGAGCAGAACAGTCGGATTGACTGAAATACCCTGCTGAGGAGAGTAGCGAGCAAGATAGAGGTTTGCTGCATCATGTAGGTCAACTCCCTGGCTAGGGATTGAATTCTTGCTGAAGCGGCTGCAGCTAGCTTCATAACCTCTCGCATCACCAGGGAGGCCCCAATATCATTTTTCTAGGAAAAGAACATGTCTGGAAAGCATCCTGGGGATAATGCTCCAGAATTTCTTTAGAAAGTAGATACTCAGTACTACTGAGTGTGATAATTAAAAAATGTATTACTTAATGTATTCCTTAATGGTGCAGCGGGTTAAAGCACAGCACTAAGAAGCTAAAGCCACTTCAGCAAGAGTTTGATCCCCGGAGGTGACCCACATGGTGCGGCAGACTTCTCCTGACTCGCCAGCTGCTCCCCTCAGCAGTGTACTTCATCAGTCTGCCTGTTCTGCTCCCTATCTGTCTCTGGTGAATCCTCGCACTGCCCCTGTACCCCAGTTCTGTATGAATAAATAAAATCTTTAAAAAAAAATGTATTAGCAATATGGCCCCATACTTAGTCATCTTCTATACCTAATATAGCAGAAGCCTCTCTCGATATATATATCATTGGCATTTATGAAAGTTAATTTTCCTCTATAGTTACTTAAAACAACTTAAACCCCCTAGGATTTTTTCCTTCTCTTCTTACATATATTTCTGAAAGGATAAAACTTGGCTTTTGTAAAGCATTTTCTTAACCCATTTTGGGATATACTGAATTGGATTTAGGTTAGTAACATTGTTTCTTTGATACAATTGCAATATTTTTGGAAGAATACCAAAATTTTCAAGTATATTGGTTAAAACTGTAGATAAAAGGTTTTTTATTTTGTTTTTTAGTTAATTTATTTGTTTATATGTAGAAGAACTAAATGTAGGCCAGGAGTTCAGGGGCGGTGAGAGGATTTTTCAGAGACAAAGCAGGGACCAAAATAGGTAGATTTACTGAAATATACTGGGAAGTGGAACAGTGGGTGAGATTGGAGAGGTCTGCTGCACCATGGGAGTTAAGACTTATTCCCTGAGTCACCTGGGAGCCCTTTTTTGTTATTTTAATTTCGTCTCTCCTTGCATTCTTGTTCATTTTGAGACGGTGTTTCATTTTTCCTCTCAGGTATAGTCCCCATAAATCTCCCACCACCACATCACTGAGAACCTTTACCATAGTCCCTTGTGATCTCCTCTCCCCTGGTTTGATCCCTCTTCTCCTTTCCTGCTGTATGCCTCAGTTCTACAGTTTGCCTGCAAGTTTTATCCTTTTTTGGACCCTCTGTTCAGTTTCCCTACATTCCTCCTGTGAGTGAAACCCTCTGGCATTTGCTTTTTCCTTCTGATTTTTTTCGCTGAGCTTAATCCAGATAAAAGTTTCAAGTCAGTTAAAACTGTTTTTATGTCTGTGCCTTATGTGTAATAATGATCTTTGACAAAATAGATTCCTCTTGCTCAGGATTGTAATTTCTTCATACATCCTTTTCCATGGAAGTGCTTTTTATTTAGGAGGAATAGCCATTTATTTATATTAGACAGCTTAAGGAAGTAAAAAGTAAGGACTTTGGAATTGTAGCTTTGTATTTATTTTTTTGGTCTATGGCAAATACTCTCTTCAGTCTAAAATTTCTAAAGAAGGATATTAATATTTTACTAACATTGTAAAGAAATGAGGGAACAAGTAAAGATTCTGTCAAAACCTTAATACACTGGCTTCTCCTTTGATTAGTCTCTTTACTAGTTAAGGTTCTAGCATTTGTCTTTAACCCTGGCTGCACTTACCCAGATCTTTGAATGAAACACTAAAGTTCTAGGCCTACCTTAAAACAGTTGAATCTACCTTTGGGAATGGGACTCAGTATGTTATTTGTTTTTTAAGTTTCCTGGGTAATTCTAATGAAGTTAAGTATTGAAAACCAGTTTCTAAAGGCAAAGCCTTCAAAATAGAACCTTTTTAAAAAGCTTTCCTGATTGTTTTTGAAGGTAAAAATAAGGGGGTTTATTATTCTGTGTCTAGTATATTTAACTGAAAATAATGGAGGCCTATTTCTTTAAATATATATTTCTCTGATGGATGGGTCTACCAGTTAATCTGATCTTTCTAATTGTCATTGACTGCAACTATATTTGCTTACATTAATTGAATTCTTTTCACATTTGATTGTAGATATCCAGTAGCGTTTGTTTTCTTATTAAGTTGAAGTGTGTCATTTTTCTTCACTGTCACTCTGCATGCATATAAATTTAAAATCCCTTTTGACCTTCCTGTACTAATGCAAGGAACCAAGTAAATTGGTCGCTCATCCATGGGGCATGGGGCAAGGATGGTCAGGAAGATTGAGTGAGCATAATAAGGATTGCTAGTTTTTTTCCCACTTGATGTAAGAGCAAGCTTTCTCTTACATTATCTGCTAAATGTATTGTGAATAGTTATGCCTAAAGAAATATCTGAAAATTCAAATACTAATGGACCCCCCCCAAAAAAAAAACTAGTAGATAAATGCACTGATCAACTGTTTATATCACACACTATGCCTTCAGATGTGCTTTCACATGCACTAGTCATTCTTTAAACTAACATTAAAAATATATATATATATCAGGTACTAGGATAACAAAGCTGAAATAAAAGCTAGGCCTCCAGAGTTTTAAATCTAGAGGGAAAGGCAGGTAGGTAAATTGGCCATCACAATTAGTGTAATAAAAGCACCAAGAGAAGAAATAAAGAATACTACTAGAGTATATGGAAGTAATTTTTATTAGGGTAATGGGAGTAAAGGAATCTGGGAAGTTTTCTAAGACATTATGAGGCAATCCATCCCTAAGGCTGAGCGCTAGACAGATGTGATTAGGAGCAGAGGAGGATAGTCCTTTATTCTCCCCCCCATCCCTGCTTTTTATTAGGAGTCTGAAGAATAGGGGAATTAATATTTGTTGGGTCACATGCTGAAATAATGGGATAGTTAGTACTAGAGTTTGTTGGCTAGTATCTGAGCTCTTTCTATAAACAAATTAAATTCTGTGTTATAAGAACAGATAAACATGAATATAATACTACTTTTCCTGAAATACCTCATTAGTTATGTATTTATCACTAATTAGAACCTATTAACCTATTTTAACTTTTTTTTTTTAAGATTTATTTATTTATTCATACAGAACTGGGGTACAGGCCAGAGATGCAGAGGGTGAGAGGGTTCACCAGAGACAGAGTGGGGAGCAGAACAGGCAGATCAACGAAGTACA